AAGGTCCACCACTAGGCTGCTGGCCTTTGTTTCTGCTGAGTTGCATGCCCGTCCCTAGATTTCTGCAGTGAACACAACAAAAATTGTGTTTGTGGGATGGCAATCGACACAGGCAAAATCAGATTGGATCGGTGGTTTTGGCTGTTCAAAAAGAACTAAGCTATTGGAAAGAGTTTACGACTTTTTGCTCTTAACCGACATCGTAGTGTCGTAGGTAGGCTATTGGAGACGTCGATCGAGGTTGAATTACAGAAAACGTCAAGAGACTGTGGTAACTTTTCAGTGACCGGACCAGAAGTCTGATGACGGTGTAAATAGGAGAGTTTCCATTATCATTATTGCCGGTCACTCAGAGCCAAAGTTGCTAGTCTGGTCATCCGCATCGTTGAGACAGCAAATCATAGACAGGTGGCGAGTCGAGCGGCTCTTCTAGGTTCTCTGCCTCGCATATTAACCGTCGTTGAAAGTTGAGGCCAGCATCGTTCGCCACATGGCTGAAATTAACATGAGGCTCTCCGGTCATTCGACCTCTGTGCAAACGACGTCGGCAAGCCACATGAACGCTGGATAGCCCTCACCGAAAACCAAATAATCTCTCTCAGTGTAAGGGCGCTTTGCATGCGCATGACTTAGTTGGATGTACTGAGCGCCTTGATTGACGTAAGTGATGCCTCCCAATGCATTGAGCTGGTGGGATCTTGATGAACAGCAATGACTCAAGTGACACCGAGAGATGCTGCAGATAACGACGAAGATGGAGGCCTGTGGCTGGCGCAGTTGACAGTGCTGCCAGGGCTTTTGGGCGGCTGCGCATTCAGCGTTTATGCTTACCGCTGAGCGACCCTGTAATCCGGGATAGCCGAGCGATTATTTCTCCTGTTTTCTCGACGAAGGATGCAACGCGGTGCGGCGAGCTGGCGTCCCTGACCCTGGGGGCTGTGGCTGAGCGTAGATCATCGCCAGCCGGGCGACGCCGTTCCAGCGTGACTTTCTTTCGCGCGGTGGCTGTGAAGGAGGATCGGTAGGCAGACACTGAGGGACGCAAAGTGACATCACACCATGGGAGAATTACACATTTAAATGTCGAGGGGTCCGCCGGTCGAACACCGAGGATCTGGCTTGATTGTTGATTGTTGATTGACATCAAAACTCAGCCGAGCGAACCCGATTGTTCGTATACAAACCCCCAAACCCAAGAAAACATGCCCATCACCAAGCCCCTGCCGGACGCCCCCGCAGATGAAGCCCCGCCGCCGTACCAAGAGAAACCATCCGGCAGTCCGGCGCCGGTGACCACTGGAAGCCCACCACCGCCGGGAAGCCCGGGGCCTTCCGCGCCGCCGGGCCAAGTCGCGCGCCAGTTCCCTCCGATGTTCAATGTCTATTCGCAAAGCTTCACCCGCACAATGCTCCTGGGCGAGCACCAAAACCAACCTTTCTACGCAATGTCAATCCACAGCGGCCTGAGCAGTTCGCCGCCAATCGTGCTGCACTCGGGACCGAGCAACACCCATCCTCCTCTTGCGTCGGTCGAGTTCCACAGCTTCAGCAGCAGAATGAGCATCACGCTGCCACCCGCTCCAAAGGGCAGTCCGGGAGGCGCACCCATTACCGAGCTCGAGTCTCGCGCCGACTTCCCAAGTTACAGATACGTCTTTTCCATGGGCGTGGGCCCCAACTGCGAGAGGCTGGAGCATTTCGAATGGCGGACGAGTTCTGGCGAAGCAATTGGCATTCTGGACGGCAGAAGCAGAGGACACAAGTTAGTACGGCTGTCTCAGACCGTCCCAGCCAATGCGCCGCCCGGTGTGTTCAGAGGAGGCGACGGCAAGGAGGTTGTCGCGGCCTGGACAAACGCTCACACGAGCATGACCAAGGCCGCCAAGTTCGCCTTCATGGGCAGCGGTTTGACAGGAGAGCTGGGCGAGCGCTGGGCAATCATGGCCGCCATCTCCGGCCTGGCAATATTTGAGCGCGAGAGGCAGCGAAGGCGCAGAAACGCTTAGCATCCCGCACACGCGCATATAAGTACTTGGGTGGCGGTTATGGGATCGCATCTGGATTTCGAGTCTTGGCTTCAATTTGGCGCTTCATGGATTCACGATTGATTGCTGGCATGCGTACGAACTGTTTCGTTTTGTTTTTTCGATACCCGCATCTTTAGACGAACATGAATACCAACGAGCAGATAAGCTCAATACTTGCAAGACAATGACTCGGAAAGTTCTGCGCTCTGTCGCTTTTTGCTGTTTGATGGCGCTCTGTCTTGACTGTCTAAGCCTACCTTGTCGGTTTCTGCGAAGGGGTTGCCGTCAGGGGGGGAATATTCTGCGTGCTTCAGGTTGAGTGAAGCTGCCACCTCTTGTTTAAGTCGAGTCAGGGGAAGACCACAGAGCGCTCTCAACCTCTCTGAATCACACGAACCAACATTGGACTCGGCCGAGAAAAAAACACAATGAGTGCAAAAGCCAAGCTTCGCGCTTCCAGTCGAGATCTCATCCCCACGAAGGCACCCCAGCATCACATCATGAAAAGTCGTGAGAGTGGACTGTGTGCTGGAGACGGTTGGATACCCAGGCGAGGATTTCCATATGATCGGCGATGTTTTGTGCATCTCAGGGGTGGACTGATCGGGCAAAACGGTTGGGAGGCCCCTGCAAGACATCTGGTGGGTGGTGCAACGCCGATGTGAAGTTGCAACGAGGGGGGCCCAGCAATCTGGCCGCAGTGGAGAAGCAAAAAGACGTGCGTGATGTGCGGTGAAGCGCTGGGCTGGGATGAGAGAGATTTGACGGGGATGAAAGATGGGATGGGGTGACGGGGATGGGCCGGCGAGGACGCCACTTGGGAGGGCCCAGCGGCTGGCAAACGGCACGGCGCTCCGAAGAACATTGATGACTTTGCAGTCCTGTTGAAATGAAGTCTCTGCAGAGAGGAGGAATTGTCGGTGATGACGACGGTTTCAAAACGCCTTTTTGCATTGAGAGATACATTAGGCGCCGGGCGCCAACGTCGTCATGGTCGTGGACCAACATCACCTGCATCGTGGAGTGGGCACGGGAAGTCTATCTACTGTTAGGAAGGGCAGCATAGCGTTGAATTCTGAATGACGAATAACGATACAAGGTGGGCGGCGGGCAGTGGGCAGTGGGCAGTGGGCAGTGGGCAGTGGGCAGCGGGCTGTGGCGTACTTTAAGTCAATCTCGCATCGAAGAATCCTTTTTCTTCTAGGCTGACGGATCATCGGCTCAGCAGAGGAATCAAGCGTAATTTTGAGTCCCATCAGCCTAGGCGGATAACCGTCCATGCCACCGTTACTTGGGCTTCGGATAACCACCGCAAGGCCCACGATGATCCATCAACATCCATCTGTTGGATTCTTTTGGGTCTCCCGAGAGAGCTCATGTCCGAAGTTGGTGAGTCGACGGGCGGGAGAAAATCAATAGAAGCAACTCGGGACCAACGGCAGCGAGGCCAGGCGAGATTCGAGAAGCCTCGGATCCATAACTCTTTTTCCTAGTTTAAGCCTATGTCCGGAATGGGGGCACACCAGGCCCAGCAGGCCCAGCAGGCCCAGCCAGGCTAGCCGTTCTAGCCAGCCGAGCTTCCCTTCCTGCAGAGATAACCACCTGAGGCCTGCGTTGTTGGTGTTTGCCCTGCTCCAGAGATTATTGTAATGAGATGAGGAGGAGGCAGTCGACGAGCCTGGACGCGCTCAGGTCAAGTTGTTGGCGGCAAAGTCTCGATTGGTGGAAAGGGGGCGAAAGCAGGCTGCTGTCTGCAGGGGGAGGAGCAGTTTTTGAGCAGCAAGCTGCCCGCGCGGTGCCCCTTGAGGCTCCGCAGCAGCGGCCAGCCACATGGAGGTCAGCCTCTATTGGGAGATGGCGCGTAGAATGTTGATTAAAGGTGCGGAAACTGCAGGGCGAATCTGGCGATAATTAAGAAAGGAGAGGGTCAGGACTTGGCGGTTTCAGGGTGGCCGCCGGGATCAAGCGGAGGCCTGACCGGGGGTTGACCGGGGTGTGACGGCTACACGACCAATCGGCACGGCCAGCGAAGGCCGGGGTGGGGGATAGACACCTTGCGGCCCCGGTCACCCCGGCTGGTGATCCTGGTCGGTCGTCCAGTCATCCCATGTCCTGTCGAGGGGCTGCTGTCTCATCCATTTTTTACATGTCAACCCCAACTCAGCAACTCACATTGCTTCTGCTGCCCAGTGTCAACCACCATCATGACTATGTACACGACTAGAAGTCACTTACACGCACCATCTCTGCTAGTGTGTGTCCGCACCTTGTCCACCTACTATGCTTCACACACGCTCCCGCGTAAGCGCAGTCGGCACTCGCCTGTCTGCCCCCTCTCCTCGGCCTGGCCCCTCCCCAATCCCAGCTGCGTGGATGCGCCCAGAAGATGGCTTCATCCCCCTTTCGTGTGTCTAACGCCAAAGCTGAGACCTGGCTCTGCAGTTTGCAGTCACCTCTCGCAGTGAAGCGGTTAATCAACCACCCACATCCCATGATCCTGGCTTGACTCCCGCATACGCGAGATCCTTCCCCTCCCCATGTTCCTCTCCTCTCTCCACCAGCCTGGCCGAATATGATTGTCCTGCGTATAGTTGAAACTTTGGCGGAGCGGCGGGAATGACCCTTTCAATCTTGACCCGATGTATGCGAACGCCCTGGACTCTCAACGGCCCAAGTGACCGTCTTGGGAACAGGGCGACGATGCCTTCCCGCATATATCATCGCCGTCTCCCAACCATCACCAGTCCTGGTTCTTCCTTCTTTCGATCCATAGTGTTCAGCTTCACTTGACCTGTGATTCTATCTCATTCCTTCGTTCAGATTCGTCATTCTTTTCACTTGACCAGGTAGTCATTCATTTTCGGTCTCAGACCTCACAACTCTCATTTCCAAACCACCCAGATATTCTCACAGTCAAGCCACAGGCACCTTTTGATCAACTCTCCAAAACCAACCCACAACAAACTCGCCAAAATGAAGTACACTGTCGCCTCCCTTCTTGGATCCGCAGCCCTGGTGGCTGCCCACGGTTACGTCGAGAACGCCACGATCGGCGGTGAAGCCTACACCTTCTACCAGCCCTACCAGGACCCCTACTCCAGCCCTGCCCCCGAGCGTGTCTCTCGTCCCATCCAGGGCAACGGCCCCGTTGAGGATCTCACCAGCATCGACATCCAGTGCGGTGGCTACTCCGCCGGTGGTGTCAAGGGCTCTTCTCCCGCCAAGCTCGAGGCCAAGGCCGCCGCCGGCTCCGAGGTCACCCTCAACTGGACCCTCTGGCCCGACTCCCACATCGGCCCTACCATCACCTACATGGCCAAGTGCCCCGATGCCGGTTGCACCGACTACCTCCCCGGCACCGACGCCGTCTGGTTCAAGGTTCAGGAGGATGGCCGTGAGGGTACCTCCAACACTTGGGGTGCTACTCCTCTCATGAAGGCTGGCAACTCTGGCGTCAAGTACACCATCCCCGAGTGCCTGGCCCCCGGCCACTACCTCGTCCGCCATGAGATCATCGCCCTCCACGCCTCCTACCAGTACCCTGGTGCCCAGTTCTACCCCGGCTGCCATCAGCTCGAGGTTACCGGCTCCGGCAGCACCTCCCCCTCCGACCTTGTCGCCTTCCCCGGTGCCTACAAGGCCGCTGACCCCGGTATCACCTACGATGCCTACAAGGCCCAGGAGTACACCATCCCCGGCCCTGCCCTCTTCTCCTGCTCCGGCGGCTCCGGCTCCGGCTCCGGCTCTGGTGCTGCTTCTTCCGCCGCCCCTGTCGCTACCTCCGCCGCCGCCTCTGCTCCCGCCTCCTCTGCCCCCGCCGCTACCTCCGCCCCTGCTGCTACCTCTGCTGCCGCTACCACCTCCGCCCCCGCTGCCGCTGCCACCGATGCCGCTGATGAGGAGGACTGCCCCGTCGAGACCCCCACTGCCACCGCTGCCATCACCCAGGCTGCTGTCTCTGAGGCTGCTGCCACCCCCACCGACGCCGGCGACGAGGAGGACTGCCCCGCCGAGTCTGAGGCTTCCGCTGCCCCTGTTGCCACTGCCACTCCCACCCAGGCCGCTGGTGATGATGAGGATGACTGCCCTGCCGAGTCTGAGGCCCCCGTTGCCTCTGCCACCCCTACTCCCACCCAGGCTGCCTCCGACGACGAGGACGACTGCCCTGCCGAGTCTGAGGCTCCCGTCGCCACTCCTACCCCCACCCAGGCTGCCGATGATGAGGAGGACTGCCCCGTCGAGACCCCCGTTGCCAAGCGCATGACCTTCCACGAGCGCCGCAACCTTTAAGCGGTCTCTTGGTGTCTTCGACGCCTAGATGGCTAAGGGAACGAGCTTCCCGGGCTGCCGGCGGATGTCCACGCTTGTGGTGTCCCCGACGCTGATCGGTCCCCAGACCAATCCGTTTCATGTATAAAGTCTTTGTTGTATATCGTTTTACCTCACGTATATATCAGAACGATATAGATCGTATCATTCTCACGTTCCAACTTGATGTTACTCCTGTCTGACTGTGATGTGCCAATGTGCTGTGAAGCTTCGATGTGTTGCCATGATTCAACTCGACTATGTGTTTGTATTTAGCCTTTGCTCGTGGTGAGTTGCAGAGAACATGGCACACAAGTTAAGTACTCTTTCTGCGATAAGTCAAACTTCAATCGTTGAAGTGCACATAGAGCACTGAAAACTACCAATGACATTGGTATGTGGTCATTACATCGTTAAGAGAATCTCTCATGTCCGTACCCATAAACCATGATATGAGTCTGTACTAATTACCATGTAACACATAAGGGCAGTCAACACATCTATTAGACGCTGCCGCTTCCTCCACTGCGCAGGCTAGACTTCTCTGCACCGTGACCATGGCTAGATGCAGCAGCGGGAGGCATTGAGCGACGCTTTCGGAGCATGACAAACGCGATGGCGCCAACAATAGCCACGACACCGAGGGTAACCATGGCACCGATGACACCGGCAACAGCGTTGGACATGCCGCCGCTGCTCTTGCCAGAATCGGAGCTAGAGGCTTCCTCCTGGTTGGCGAAGCAGAAGTCCGCGACGCTAGAGCAGACAGAACACCATTCTCCAACTGTGCTGATCGCACGCTCCTGCATCTCTGACACGAAGCGCGGCCAAGAGAGAGTCTCCTCGTTGGTTCCAAACAGCGGGTACGGCGTCAGCTCACCAAAGGTGCTGTTGCGGAACAGGAAGCGCACGCGGAGATCGTCGGCGGCGTTTTCAGGGAACGTCGTGGTATTATCGCTGAACAGCTCAAAGGCGATGGTGGAGGCATAGTCTGGGAGACCGGTGAAGTTGACCGAGAGGGGAACGAGATCGACGAGACCGAAGAAGGCGAGGAACGTGTCGTAGCTACCGGAGAGCAGGGAGAACTTGAGCTTGCCCTTGGAGGTGACGGTCTGGTTGAGCTGGGCGAGGATGCCGGCTGTCAGAGTCTGCGCGTGGATGGCCCGCGCGGGCTGGGAAGCGTTGAAGTTGTATCCGAACTCGGAGCTGTCGGCGAGAGTGCGCAGCTGGAAGAGCTCCTCGTCTGTGACGTTGCGAGCTAGGGAGGTGCTGTTGTGGATGCGAGCAACGTTGATGAGGTCAAAGATATCGTAGGCGTTCTTGTATGTCATGTTCTCAGGCTTGTAGTCGTACACGCTCTCGAGGACATCGTAGAGGCCGCCATAAAAGTCCCTGGTCGTCTCCATGCGGGTCTTGAACTCGTCGCTCATCTCAAAAGACTTATAGGCCGCCGCGTTGGCGGGGCAGCCATCGTCACCCTTGATCCAGATGGTGTCCGGGGAGTTCGCGTTCTCGCCGTGAAGGAACACATATTGGTAGCCATTCAGCGGGCTTGTGCTGTCGCTCCCGTTGTTGAGGGTGGTGGTGGCGATTTCGGCGTCCAGATCAACGAGAGGAGGGTAGAGACCTTGGAGGAAGGCCGTAGCTGAGTTCTTCAGGAGACTCTGGTCCGGGGCACTGGCATAGATCTGCGATGAGACGTACTTGTCCTCGGAAATGTTCAGAATCCGGTGAGGGGACCCGGACTCAAGGTAGCGGCTGCGGTAATCACTACCGACTTGGAAGCACTGGTTCGCACCAACGCTCGTGATGGCTTGAGCTCCATAGTGCTTCGTGTTGCCTTCAAATTGTGTCAGTCAAGATTGTGTTTGAACATGGCAGATGTCAGTCCACTTACGGTCTCCATGGCGGCTAAAGACGACTACGCCGTGGACAGTCTCGGCGACGGCTGTGCCGGCAAGGATGCTCACAGCAGCCAAAGATTTACCGATCATAGTGACAAAGCTACGAAGGGCCTATTATGGCTCTGTTTGGGTATCAAATGGTGACTCCGTGCGTCGAAGATGCAAGATCAGGCATGCTGCAAAAGTCTTCATGAGGCTTTTAATATTTCGAAATAGCCCACCCCCATTCCTGCGCGCCGCCCACTACCCGTCTCCCAGAAGAGCATCGTGCTGTCAAAATGTCATGTAAGGCGTCGCGCAGAAGCGGGGGAATCACACATGTTTCCCAGTCCCGTGGCGCGGAGATGCTAAGGATTTGGTATCGTTTGACTGTTGCCAAGAAGCCAAGTACTTGGCATACATCGCGACGAATCAACGCGGACGATAAGAGCAGCGGTCGTCGCCGGCCGGTCAGTAAAGTCGCTCCCAGGACCGCTAAGCAAATCGAAGCCGACTTGGCGGAGGGGTTGTCAACCTTCTTGCCTCTTCCGTCGGGTGAGGGTCGTTCGGCGGGAGCGCATGAGGCCGGGCCGCTAGATCGGGGTCCCCCCACAACGCCGAATACTAGGTTATTCGCGGTTGCAAGATACTCGTTAATTGCTGTCAGGTTAATCTGACTACGACGATTGTTGATTCGTCTCACTGTGGCGGCTGAGAAGTATGTGATGAGCAGGGGTAAGCTGTTGACTTGAGTGAGGGATGCCAATCCGAAAAGTAGTGATTTTCTTAAGCGCTCTCATTGTTTGAATCTACCTATCTGGTGCAATATAGTAGTATCAGCTTCAGCAAGCACTGCGACTCTGTTGGCGTTATCACAGGGCTGGTAGTCTGTGAAGCACTTGCTCCCATATTCGGCCGGACTACAGGTACTACAAGGGGACAAATCTTGTCTGACTGCCTCTAAATAAGTCCAATATGAAGCCCGTGCGTGCGTCTCAAGGTAGTTAGTTACATGCTTTTATATACCCTCGAAATGACGAGAATATCCCTGGCTCACGAGTAGAATTTCTCGTCGGCTTGGGAGTTTAGTAGCACTCCATGAAGGCCATCAGTTCAAGCCTTAGCCTACAAGGCGAGATAGAGAACCTAGTTCTGAGATAGTCGTCATGTCAAGCTATAAGTCTGGGTCTCTGGAGGTGTCAATAATTTAATATCTTTGTCAACCAAATCACGCCATCGTCAGCCAATTGCAAGCCGTCAAGTTTGCCAGCATGGTACGAAAGTCATGTCCACCGCAACTAATACCCGAGTTCTGGAGTCACATAAGTGGTTTGCGGTGATGAATACGATCCAGAACCACTAGGTCCTATTAATTCAATATAGTGGGCAAGTCCTCAACTTAACTGATGACCACTAACATGGGTTGTGGGAGGCATGAAGGGCATCACCTGTGCTATCCCAATTGGACCCGGCTGGAAAGAACCAAGGATATGTCAGCGTCGAATATCTTACCTCACTTGGCTCGGATGAACATCACACAAATTCGCAACACAAATTCGCAGTGACCTCAGGAGCTGGAGCGTCCATGGCAGACAAGCCGTGCCAGGCGCGAATTTGGCGGCTGAGCAATTTGACCTTGGGACAAGTCCAAATCTTCAGTCGGGCGCAATCAGCAACAAGTAACCTATTATAATGCCAAACAGCTCTGGACAGATACATTTGATAGTTCCGAGGCCGGCAGAGAGGTTGATTTTAAGCTGTGGGGAATCATGTGGGATGAGTAAAGCGTGCCGCCATGCATCTCAGCAACACGCGCGCAGGATGGGACCGAACTTAGGGTCAGGTGTGAAAGATTCCTTTCCATTTAAGTTGATTTTTTCATTCATGGTCCTCTCAATGAGGATTTGTTTCCTTGAGTCCCACGTTTCAAACTATGAATCCTGCGATGGCGCTGTCAGGCAGTTGAGATTGACGATAAGGGCAATAGACCATCAAGATGTTCTGGCAAACACCAGAAATATTCGTAGAGGAGAGCCCTAGGAGACTAGTCCCAAGTTGCTATGCGCTTCAACACCACTCGAAACGGCGCGCAGAGAGGATGCATGAGAAAATATCTACTAGCTCTGACGGTACATCCGCTACTTCACCGTTTTACATCGTTCATATCCGGTCGCGAACGTCCGTCTAACTTATGCCAGATGGTTTGTGAGGCACGGAGGTCAAGCAGGGGAGCTAATGTGAGGTATGCCGTTGTCAATGGACTTTCAACAGTTCACCCGGGTAACTATTGAATACGAAGCTAGGTAAAGCGTGGCGGGTCAAGACGGTGAATGCCGCTTCCCGTCTATCAGAACAGAAGTTCCATATTTCACTCGGATACTTGGATCCGACGGGGAGCCTAGGCCATGTTACGGGTAGCAGGAATTCAGTGAGAAGCCATTTCAGTGATGGCGGTGAAAATGATAGACAAGACCTTGGCGAAGCAAATGGAGGTTTTTATGTGTCAGTGGTAGGACGACATCTGAAAGCAATTGGCTTCGGTGAGATGGAGGATTGTGGCGTATCTGCATTCAGCCGGGGAAAGTACACACTTGTCGACGTGTCTGAATATCTGGCAATGAAGGCCCAGGGAGGTCAGCACTTTTTTGTGCAAGCTGTTTAATGAATGCCAAACATTCGCCCGGATAAAAGACCTTTTGAATCTGGCATCCCTGCTAATCCTGGTGGTGTCTGGGTGATATCTAACGACCTTCCTTCTCTCGGAGAAAGTATCGGAGAAAGCCAGTAACGCGAGATCTAGTTATCAACACGAGTCGATAAGGGATTCTTGCGTGATCGCTCGGGTTTATCCCCGTCGTAAAACCACACGCTCGCTCCGCGGTCGGTCTCGGTCGAGATAACCATGCGCCCAGGCATTGTCACCGATGGAAAAGCCTGCAAAGTCAGGAATGCAATTGATAGTGGGCTGAGACGGTTGTGCGGTGTGGATGCGCAAAGCTGCTGTTGTGGGACAGCGGCTGTCGGTCGGAAGCCTCATTGGGGAAGAGAAGCTTGGCCTGGGAGACCCTGGTTGAGGGGGCCATTGGCCAATAACGCAATGTCAGGTTGAAAATGGCTAGATTTTGAAGCCTGAATGACCAGTGACAGAAGAATGTGGGAACCCGGATGTGTTTGTTGAGTCCAACTAATTGGGTAATGTGATGAAGGCCCTCAGCCCAGCCAGAAGGTGCCCTCGACCTCGACGATATCATCGTCGTTCAGCCTCTGTACCTCAACGATTGTTCTGGGCGGGAACAGCACCTTGCCGGTGGTGTTCAGCTCGGCCCAGAGCTCATTCTGGACTTGGTTGACGATGGGGCGATAGCGATACATGTCCGACACATAGACAACGAGACGAACGCATGATGTCTGGGAACATGTCAACAGGGGTAACTTTTTTCACTGCAGTCGGAGTCATGTCCTGACCAGATCGGACCCCGCCGACCGGGCCAAATGGGCCATGTTCTCATATGCCAGGCGTATTCTGGGATACCCGATTTCAGCGAGCGAGCTGTTTGAGGGATGTATCCCACGAACGCCGGCGATGTAGAGCGTCGGGCCTGCGATGGAGAGCAGACTGTAGGGTCCAGTGACATCGTAGCTAGTCGACGGGTTGATGTATTTCACGCCCAGCGGGGATGTGTAGTTCGGTTCCAGAGTTGGCTCTGATGCTTGTGGAGATGTACTCGCTGCTGCAAACGCAGATAGAAAACATGTCATTACCTCAAGGAACTTCATCGTGGGTGTTTCCTGTAATGGTGGCTTCAAAGAGAAATTCGGACAGCTCCAAGGCTAAAACGGTTGTATATAAGAGGCCATGCTCGGTGGCATCTCAACCTGTTTTACAGGTGGTGAGCGGCAAGGAGACCTGTATTGATCCACTGTGTGATGTCACGCAGCGCGCGTGTCACCCAAAGTGGTCTTGGCACGCAGTAACACCTCTCTCGTGATTGCGGCTACGATGGTTAACAGCTTTTGGGGAAGGTGTTGAAGAGTCCAGGAACACGAACAGTAGAGATGCGCCCCTGAATACTAAGAAGAACAGGGAAGGCGTTCGTTCTCAGGAACTGTTTACTAAGTGACTAAGTGAAACATGGATGGCATGGGTTGGACAGAGTTGTTCTCGAACGTGACCTGGGATGGCGCAATTCTATGCGATGGGGTCCGCAGGCGCAGGTATTGCTGGCATTGCTGGCATAGATTGCTGAGTGTTGAAAATGACGCCATCGCACGGTCGCGTTAGCTCATCCCGATTGGGGAGATTGGCGGCCAGGATTGCGACATTGGCGACGGCCTTAACCTCATCGTCGGTACTCGGTGCAGTCTGGAGAAGAGGGCGCCCTTTTACTGGGAAGGGAAAGGTACGGACAGGTACCGGCAGCAGTCCCCGCTGGGACTCTGGGGAGGCGAGAAACAGAGAGTATGTAGAAATGAAATTTGACGATGTCGCAAGTTCAACGCTGAAAAATCAAGGTTGCAGACGGATCCAGCGGAACATTGAAGTTTTTTTCCTCTTCTTGTTGTCTAGTGGTTTCGAGGCCCAGGCCCAGCCCAGACTGAATCATTCGAGACCCAGTTGATGACGAGAGAGAAACGGATGAATACGTGGACACTGGGCAGCAGCAAAGGTGCAAGGCCAAACGGCGATGGTCTAATCGCCGATTCGGTCTTAGCAAAACGGATTGAATTTTTTTCTCTTCTTTTTTCCCTTTTTTTTTCCCTTTTTTTTCCCTTGAAAGAGGAGAATGAGCAGGTGACCCTTCAACGTTTTGGCGGCGACTTTTGACTGGTTCAATATTGGGAAGAGTGACTGATGGAAATTCGTGGTTGGCGGGTGTCCAGTGCGTGCTGCGTGCATGATTTGCTGACAACGCATCCTGTTATGTAAGCTTTGGAGGGTGACTGTGCACCTTGAGAAATTGTCTGTTACGGCGCTTGGGACTTTGGGTCTTCGCATAAGGTACTCTGAATTGAATCGGCGATGGGATGCACTGGATATCTGATTGACTGAAGAGACAGCCAGTCAATTCATGGTGTTTACTGCACAGCATTGTTGGAGACATACACCATGAAAGTACACCTTCGTTTCTGTACCTCTGCTGGCAGTATGTGAGAGTGAGAGCAAAGGCAGTCGGTCCAGCCTTACAGTGTGGCTCCCCCGCAATCTCAGCAGCAGCGCAGTCGGCTATCGGTGACGGTGCAGCGAGACCCGTCCGTAGCCGTGTGGCCGTCTCCCACGACGGCAGCGACAACCGTTTGCCTCGTCCGGCGCGCGCTGTCACTGGCCGGCGGACTCGCTTAGCCGTCACCTCATCGCTGGGAGTGGGGCTGGACCCCTGGAGCACCGCTGGGAACCGCTGTGGCAGAAGTGGAACGTCTGGGGGGCTCACACCAATTGACCCGGCGATGTCGCCATTTTCGCCCCAAAGCACCTCTACCACGCCTCTCCTCTACAGAGTACAGAGTACGGATACAGAGTACCTTACCACAGGCAGGTACCTCCCAGTCAGTCACTGCCCGGAGCACGCCCGCAATCGACGTCGGCCTCGCTGCGACCGTCTTTTCCTCTGTCTCCTCCACTCCTCAAGGTCTACTTGCCTTGTCCACCGTCCAAGACGACTACGATAAAACTACTCGACCTCCCTTCCCTCTCCTCCGACCACGATCCAAGACAGGCTCCGATCACGACACCAAGCCAAGCGACGACGACACCGGCGCGCTGCCACCTCGATACTTTCCTCTTTGTTTCTCGCCGTCTTCACCGGTCCCAATTACCTTGTACACACACCAGCACACACCCCCTTCGGCTGAACCTTGTCGTCTGTCCATCCACCAGCAGCCTCGACGATCCGCATTCATACCTCTCGCCTGCCGACCGCAAAAAAGGCAACCCAAACAACAGAACCAAGGCCACAGAAGACGAAGAAGCAAAACCGTCCCATCTTTCCGCCCCCCGTCTCGACGAATCACCAGGCGCTCAACCTCCTGCCAAACCTGCTCTGCGCCTCGCCGTGAGTCTCCTCGACGTGCCCAACTCAGGCGCTACACCACAAAACACCAACACAGACGTCCGCGCGCGAACTCGACAACGAGCGCTTTAATTGCGTGCCCTTGCCAGCTCCCCTGCTTCCACCAGTCGGGCGCCGTTCCTGTGGATCATCCGGGGCTCCCTCCTTTGGAAGCTGCCAACATATCCAGCAGTCCAAGCCATACTATAAACAGCACTGCGAATCTCCTTTCCCCTGGCTCGCACGCCATCGCCAGGTCCTCTCGCCTCACCCTCACCCAAAACACCCGCCAACAACCCAGAAACAACAGAGTGTCACCCTGTGTCACTGTACACACACGCATACGCTTGCGTCTGTCTCGTTGCTGCGTCCTCTCGCTGCCCCTCGACCTTAGGGGGCACTGCTGGCCCTGTTCCCTCGACCTTGGCGACATTTCGCTGGGTTCCAGAGGACAAGCCGGATGATTTGATACCACTTCCCCGATCGCCTGTGCTGCTCGTTTCCTCTGTTTTCCACTGCCTGCTCTGAAACCTATTGCGGCCATGGACCTCGCAAGCACGTCAACCGTCCCGGATCCCCGGAGTATGAACCTAGACCTGGGCTTGAGCCATTCGTCGTCCAGTCACCGCCATGACGAGCTCGCTGCCTCCAAGCCTCCTGCCATCCCTTCTCCCAGTTACTTCAAAACCACACCGACTTTCACCGCCCTCGACGACGCCGGCTTCAACTCCAACTCTACACCTGCTTCCAATCCCACCACCACCGTCGCCAACAATGTGACTACGAACCAACAGCCTTCCAAAGACAACTGCGACAGACGGAGACCAGACGACGGAGAAGCCTCGCGATTTCCAGCAAATATGCCTACCCAGCTGGTCGGCCAGACTGTGACTCCCTTCCTCAGAGAACATATCCCCGGCATCTACGCTCCCATCGGCAAGCCCGACGTACAGACCGAGGACAACACCCTCAACCAGAAGCGAGACCCCAGCAGCAAGTTCTGTTATCGTCACCGGCCCGACGCAAAGTGTCGTCGAGCCGCCGACGAGTCCAAAATGGTCTTGATCCAAAGTGTAAGCCAAGCCAGTCTGGATGCACACAGGCACTATCGTCTCCGTGCTGACACTTGCGCACAGGAACTCGATAAGCTCCCCTCCGCCGACCAACAAGCCATCACTCACGTGTGGTCCCTCTTCTCCGCCGCCCCTGCCAAGCACCGCGACCTCATGCTCCAGGGTATCATCACCCAGTGCTGCTTCCCCCAGCTATCCACCGTCTCCCGCGAAGTCCACGAGCAGCTCAAGATCGACTTCATGGCTGCACTCCCCACCGAAATATCCTACAAGGTCCTCGGCTACCTCGACACCGCCTCTCTTTGCAAGGCTGCCCAGGTCAGCAGGAGGTGGCGCGACCTCGCCGACGACGACGTGGTATGGCACCGCATGTGCGAACAGCACATCGACCGCAAGTGCACCAAGTGTGGGTTCGGTCTGCCTCTCCTCGAGCGCAAGAGGCTGCGAGACTGGAACAAGCAGAAGGAGCTTGCCCGGAGCCAAAGGGCCGAGGAGCCCGCCCGTGAGCCAGCGCCAGCGCCGGAACCTGAGCCGGAGGCTGCCGCCCCTGCACCGTCCCCCAATGCCAATAAGAAGCGTGAGCTGGTTGTCTTGGACGACAGTAGGAAACGCGCCTGCCGTGAGGTTGGCGAGCCCGGTGCACCCAAGGCCCAGACCGAGCGGGAGAAGGACCGCCTCATTCGACCGTGGAAGAGCGTTTACCGCGACCGTTTCAAGGTCGGATACAACTGGAAGTATGGCCGGTGCCACATCAAGACCTTCAAGGGCCATGACAACGGCGTCACCTGTCTCCAGTTCGACGACGAGATCCTCGCTACTGGTTCATATGACGCCAAGGTTAAGATTTGGGACATTGTGACAGGAGAGGAGATTCGCACCTTGACCGGTCATACCATGGGCATTCGTACGCTCAAGTTTGTTGGCAACTTGCTCTTCAGCGGCAGCTTGGACCATACGATAAAGGTCTGGAACTGGCAGACCGGCGAATGCCTCAACACCCTCCAAGGCCACAGCGAAGGCGTCATTTCCGTCGACTATGATGGCAAGCACATAGCGTCCGGATCGATTGACAAGTCGGTCAAGATTTTCAACCTTCACAACAGGGAAACATTCTGCTTGCGCGGACACGAGGACTGGGTCAACCATGTGAGACTCGACCCCAGTTCGCAAACGGTGTTCTCGGCTTCGGACGATTGCACCGTCCGACTTTGGGATCTGCGAAACAAGACGTGCATCAAGGTCTTTGAAGGCCACATGGGCCAGGTCCAGCAAGTCTTGCTGATGCCGGAGGACTTTGAGCCGGACGAGGAGATGCTAGCGGCCGACATTGCCGATAACTCCTCCGTCCACAGCGGCCGCAGCACCACCCCTTCGGCCTCGGCGAATGCCTCGGCGAACGTGGCGTCCATCCTCGGCTCCTCTTTCGGAGACTCGGGGTCGGCGGACGATGACCGGACGGCGTTCGGCTGCGCTTTCGCATCGGACCCCACACGGCCCCTCCCGCCCCGCTACATGATCACGGCCGGCCTGGACAACACCGTCAAGGTGTGGAACACGGTCACAGGCAAGTGTCTCCGCACCATGTTTGGTCACGTGGAAGGCATCTGGGGTCTCGTCGGCGACACCCTCCGCGTGGTCACCGGCGCCAACGACTCAATGGTCAAGGTCTGGGAGCCCAAGAGCGGCAAGTGCGAGCGCACCTTCACCGGCCATTCGGGTCCTGTTACCTGTGTCGGTCTCAGCGACAGTCGAATGGCCAGTGGGAGTGAAGACGGCGAAGTCCGCCTATACAGCTTCGAAGCAGACGGTCCCCTCGAAGAGTGCGGCACCCCTGCTTAAAAAGAGTGATTGTAATTTTTTGGAGTTTTCTTTTATATTCTGGGGTTCTGGCAGGTGTCTGGCGAAACGATTCCCAAACGGCGATTTACGAGAGACGGACTTTGTTGCACGACCGAAGAAAATGCCTTTGGCAACTTGTCTCTTCACGTTCAGATTATTTAGAAAAGTCCTCGAGGACTCTGGGCAGGGTAAGGGAAAGGAAACCCCACGAGGTGGGCGGCGTTCATGGATTGCTTTTTTCTGGGAATTGCTCTGTCCACCACAAAAAAGGGAACAGGATGGGTAAAAGGTTGCGGCAGCATCCAGAGTACAGGATATATCAAGAGGCCTGATTTAATCTACTACAGAATTTACGACTCGTACCATGCTTTCACATGCTCGTGCTCTTTGGGTTGGTGTCTCACGTTGGATCTAACGACTGGCCAGCCTCATTTTATCTAGCACGGAGGAAGGACTTTCATCTGATCCCGGCGCGTCGTGGCAAAATTAGCAGCGGCGGGAACTTGGAAGCAGCTGTTTGGGTAGAGGGAGGGAGGGAGTCAGGACGGGAGCAAGACCAGGTACAGGCTGGTTTCCTCCCGCCCGTCCCTCCATCAGCTGATGACCGGGCCAAGAAGGCCATGAGGCGGTGCCTGACGAGACCACTGGACCAGCCCCGAAAGCGGCATAGTCTGCGATGTCTGCTGCTGGTGTCTCCTGCACTGGCTGGAGAAGATGAAGAAGATGTGAAGAAGAGGTGAAGATGATGATCCAGGCCAGGACCAGCGTCCGAACCTCGGCATTTCTGACGAATGGCTCTTGCACTCGGCCCAGCGCCGGAAGTGCCCGGTATCCACAATCTTGTCAGGTTCCATTCACATTGCGGACGAGTACGTACCGCATGTCTCCCCCGCAAAATCACAAGCTCGGCTTGGAGTCGGTAATGTGAAGGCTGCAGTGGCCCGCGGAGGTTTCTGCCGTAGCATGCCGCGCGCTGGAACGGGGCAACGACTTTCGCATTTAGCGCTACGTCACTCTTCCTTGCGGCGCAGAATCACAGGCCGATGACTGACTGACTGACTGACTGACTGACTGACTGACAGCGTACCGTGTCAGACAAGTGAAAGTTGGAGTAAGGTAGCCTCAGCTCTCTCTTCAGCATTGCCCTGCTTTGTCTATGCCTCTCTTCTGAATCCAGCACTGACAATGTGCACGCAGCTCCGGTCGTCCAGTGCCGCTGTTGATGATTCCGGCAACCAATTGGTCTTCTCCAACCGAAGAATAGAGAGGGCCAGGGGGTGTTTTGGAAGGGGGGGGAAAACATTTTGATGACTGAAGAAAGATAATCCAAGATACCTCTCCCCCATGGTCCCTCTCTTCGACTTCTTCCCACACGGTTGCATCCCATCCCTCCAACCCCCCGTCTGCCCAGTCACAGCCTCCGTTCCGCCGAATCGGGATGGGCGCGCTCATCATCTTGTCGCAACCCACGCGTGCGCTGCGCTAGTAGCCAGACGTCTGAAGATTCAATGGTTTGAGCCACTCAGACATCGGTCCCGTGCTTGTCTCTTCCATTCTGCACTCGTTTTTCCTAACACTACCGCGTGGAAGACATGGAAGCGTCCGTGTCTACTCTGCTCGCTCTGCACATCTTTCTGTTCCTATTCATCCATCCACACACGCCCTGGTGCCCCGGTCTGCCGATGCCCCTGGCACTGGGCCGTCTAGTGTCTGGCCTCGTCGTTGTGCCGCGGGTGAAGGGGGCGGAACTGAGGGACACCTTCTCCTCATATGCTTTTTCGTCTGCTCCCCTCATGCTCGGGAAGGTTGTGTCTAGGTACACATCCAGAGCCACACATACGACACACACACACCTGGGTACCGTCTGAAGTCGGGGAACCTCGAGTCATCTGCATATGTCTGCTTGTCCTGGGGCTGATTTTCTATTCTGGCTTGTGCCTTGACCCCTCGTCCCCCCCTCGTCACTGTGAACCACCACCCCCCCTCGTCCCCTCCAACACACGCCTAGTACGCCACCTTTATATCTTCTGCCGTGGCTTTCATCACCGGCGCCGAGGATGTCTGCTTTGTAGGTCCGTCCCTGACTTGACTTGACGACTTGTTCCGAATCTTCTTCTTCTCGTCCCGGCTGCTTCCCAAGCTTCTTTCCTTGCTCTTTCCCGTGTGTCCCGCTCTTGTATGACTACTTCCTGTTGATACCTCCTTCTCTACCTACCCGCGCAGCATCGTCATTGTTCTTGCCATTGAACAGAGACGAAGAAAGCGTGACTCTTGCTTTGTTCTTGTAGACCTCCTGGCGCGAGCCTCCTGCTGCCTACCTACCTTTCCTGTCATCTCGTTTGCGCATATCCCTATTTCTTCGTGATCATGGCCTCCAAGGTCAAGCAAGATGGCAAGACGCCGACGTCGGCTGCCACGAACCTCATTGGTATGTCCAACCACGCGCAACCTCGTTCTGGGACGACTGCGACTGACATGATGGGATAGCTGGCGGTGGTGCTGGCATGATGGAGGCGCTGGTCTGCCACCCGCTCGGTAAGTTCTCCCCCCTCGGCGCAAACCTCGCAATGAGTGACAGACATCTTTACTGACACGTGCGGCACAACCAGACACGATCAAGGTCCGAATGCAGCTGTCGCGGCGCGCGAGGCAGCCCGGAGCGCCCAAGCGTGGCTTCATCCGCACCGGAGTCGAGATCGTCAAGAAGGAGACGCCGCTGGGTCTGTACAAGGGTCTCGGCGCCGTGCTGACGGGCATCGTGCCCAAGATGGCCATCCGGTTCACGAGTTTCGAGGGGTACAAGCAGATGCTGGCGGACAAGAAGACGGGAATCGTCAGCGGACAGGCGACTTTCCTGGGTAGGTCTCTTCAACACTCCCCCAATCTTGACTCGCAGAGAGAGAATGTTTATCATTGACGAGAGAGACAGCTGGCCTCGCCGCGGGTGTGACTGAAGCCGTCGCCGTCGTGACGCCAATGGAGGTCATCAAGATTCGTCTGCAGGCGCAGCACCACTCCATGGCGGACCCCCTCGACATCCCAAAGTACCGCAACGCGGCGCACGCGCTCTACACCGTCGTCAAGGAGGAGGGCTTCGGCGCGCTGTACCGGGGCGTGTCGCTGACGGCGCTGCGGCAGGGTAGCAACCAGGCCGTCAACTTCACGGCCTACTCGTACTTCAAGGAGGCGCTCAAGGACTACCAGCCGCAGTACGCCGGGGGAAACCTGCCGAGCTGGCAGACGACGGTGATTGGGCTCGTCAGCGGTGCCATGGGCCCGTTGAGCAATGCGCCGATCGACACCATCAAGACGAGGTTGCAGAAGACGCCTGCCGAGTTCGGCACGAGCGCGTGGAGTCGCATTGCCAAGATCTCGAGTGATATGTTCAAGTGAGTTTTGCGTCGCGCTGCTCCTGAGAGCCTGCAGAATACTGACAGTGTGCGTACCCGCAGGCAAGAAGGCATGCACGCCTTTTACAAAGGTATCACGCCTCGCATCATGCGTGTTGCGCCGGGACAGGCCGTGACGTTCACCGTCTACGAGTACCTCAAGGAAAAGCTCGAGAGAAGCAACGTGTCCTTCACTGGAGGCAAATACGAAGAGTAGATGCACATGGTCAAGGGGAACTGCTTTTCAGGTGGCTGTCTGTTGATGCAAGATACCAGTTTTTAATCTGCACGTCGAAAGCAAGAGGCGGGGAGGCATGGTTGCACGCAAAGAAAAAGAAGATGCCGCAAGTTGTAGATATGCCGAACATACTTAGAAAGTATTGCATTGCGAATGAATTCAGTCTATCATCAGCCCGATCTACAGGCTCGGGACCCAACGCCTTTGCATTGCATTGCATGCGCTCGACCTTTTTTCTTTGCTTCTCCCGTCTTACCCGCCTGCAGCCCTACACCTACACGTTTACCTTCCGGGACGCTTGGGTCTGCTGAAGCCTTGTCTGGCCGTCACCTTGGGATGTAGCTCGGACAGGACCGAGTCTTCGGTGACCTCGCTGGGCTCCTCGACCTCGAGCTTCTTGTCCAGCGTCAGGCCGGCCTCGCCGGTTGCGATCTCGAGCACGGCGCGCTTCATAAGCGGGTACAGCATGCGGTTCTTGATGGCCTTGTTGCCGGGAGTGACGGGGCAGGTGTAGATGAAGAGCAGGGGGCTCGACTCGGCGCCGTTGTGGGTGTGGGTGAAGCGGTAAAAGGTGAAGCGAGGCTCAGTGGAGGAGATGGTTTGGGTAAGTTCGGTGATGCTGGAGGGGCTTTCGGAAGAAGGGACAAGCTCGACGGATTCCTTTTCGGGGTTGATTTTCTGTAGATGCAAGTTAGCTGTTGGTCCGTCAGGAGTGGGATGGGTGGAGGGTTGGTTACGCACCAACATGACCAGCGTACGACCGCCGTTCAGGTCCTTCATGGCAGCAAGAGCGTCCTCGGCGATGGGCATGGCGAGGGTCTTGCTGAGATGGATCTCGCGGGTTCCCGTGCCGGTGCTCGCCTCGGCCTCAGCCTGCTTGACTGCACCGAGACTACGCTCCTCCTCGGTGAGAGGGGCTTCAAGCTCAGTGTGGGCATCGTGCTTGACGAAGCCCTGAGCAGAAAGCTCCTCTGGGGTGGTGGCGAAGATGGACTCGCGGAAGTGCTCGGAGCCCAGCTTGCGGACGAGAGTCAGGCGGGTGGAGGCGAAGAGCATCTTCTGGCGGACCTTGGCGGAGTCGGGGACGTATGTGACGGCCGTCAGGCGGGGAGCGGTATCATAGCGGCGGAGGAGGGCATAGAGGGCTTCGTTGGGCTTGAGGTGCGGCTGGAGGGCGGACAGGTTGTCGTCGAACGAGTCTGAGGACTTGGGGAGGAACTGGACGGGAGCGAGGGTCTCGTTGTCGATGGTGACGAGAAGGCCGAAGTGTTTGTCGCTCCCGAGGAGGGTGTTGAACTGGGAGACAAGCTCCTGGGAGGCTGATGAGTGTTAGCCGTGGGATTTGGAACCTGGAACGAGGGAATTGAGGATAT